ATTAGTAAGATTAGGAGGTGTGTGTTTTTTTACATTATTTGACAATATTAACCCCCCCAAGAAATATTTTTTAATACCATGCTAGGCTAAGATGGTACTCTTCATAATATTATTTCCTTCCATTTTTAAGCCGTTCATATTATACGTACGTACGTACACTATTTTTTGTTTATTTTTCTAGCTTTTACTACTTTGTATGTATAGGTTGGTTCTTGGTCAGCAGTGAAAATTTTCTCCTCCTTCTGTTTTGCTATACTTTTAATTTCTTCTTCATATTCTTCATTTTTTTTCTGGAATAATAGTATTACCAAAGATTTTGTTGGTCTTCAATTGCAGCAAACAAAGCACAAGTCTTGTTTCTGTTTCCTTTGGTTAAACACAGCAAAAACAGGTACTACTACTTATATTACTGTTTCTTCTGCTCGCTTCTACAATTTCCATTTTTCTCCCCTTTGGCCTTGGAGCATACAAAATATTACTTTTTCCGACCCAATTTATCTACATTTTCACTTCTTTGAGTTTATTTGACTAGTCTTTAAAGTTAAATTGGATGGTATCAACTCAAAATTTTAAAATTAAAATTTAAATGTTCAAAAATTATATGAAAGAACTAGAAATGTCAGATAAAAAATACATTTTAGAATTTTGGTCAAAGTTTACATTAAATTTCGAGAAATGAAAAATGTCGCATAATTTGGAACAGGAAATAAAAGGGTTATTTTGGATCTGAATTCCGGTTGAAATTTTGAGAGTTAGTATTATTCAAGAATATATACTATACTGTTTTGGTCCTTTATGTTTCAAAGACCCACAAGGCCAAAACAAGAAATTTCAAGAACCTCTTTTAGATATTCATATTTCACAGCACAAACTTTTTTCCAGTTCTTCGTAAAATTTTCCTAGATAATATATATTCACTATAGCATATCCCAATTGTGAACTGTTAACCACTTAACACTATAGACATATATATACACACTCATAACTTCATTAATTTCAATACTATTTGGTTGTACCATTTTTCAGGTCAAACTAAATCAAGACAAATTCAGAAGAAGTAAAACAAGTTGTTGCTATCAATGTCTTCCTCTTCTTCTTCATTATCGTCAAATTCGCCATGTGCAGCGTGTAAATTCCTACGTCGAAAATGCCAACCAGAGTGCGTTTTCGCGCCATACTTTCCCCCTGATCAACCTCAGAAATTCGCGAATGTGCACAAAGTGTTTGGGGCTAGTAACGTGACCAAATTGTTGAATGAATTACAACCTCACCAACGTGAAGATGCTGTAAATTCATTAGCTTATGAAGCTGATATGAGACTTAGGGATCCTGTTTATGGCTGTGTTGGTGTCATTTCACTTCTTCAACACCAACTTCGACAACTCCAAATGGACCTTAGCTGTGCTAAATCTGAGCTTTCCAAGTACCAAAATTTAGGAGGTAAATTCTTTTAATTCAGTACTTAATTACTATATTATTTCTCTACACACTCCTCGTTTCTTTCTTGGGGAAGTTACACATTTGGCCGTTCGGCCTTAATACTTACATATGCTAGCAAACTACTTTTTTTGGGTAGACGACTATTTAAGTTAATTTTCTCGTTTTCTTTTTATGGCTTAAATATGTGGATTATTTTCGCTTTTTGGGTCCGAAGTGAAGCCTTGCGTAACTGGTAAAGTTGTTGCCATGTGACCAGGAGGTCACGGGGTTGAGTCATGAAAATAACCTCTTGCAGAAATGCAGGATAAGACTGCGTACAATAGACCTTTGTGGTCCGGCCCTTCCACGGACCCCGCGCATAGCGGGAGCTTAGTGCACCGAGCTGCCTTTTTTGGGTCGCAAAGAAATTTGAACCTAGGATTTCTTATCTGTTTTGATACCTTGTTGAACTGCATGAACAACTCATTTAAAAGTATAATGTTGTTAGAGATGGTAGGTAGTCCCTCCCACATGACAACTGTTGGAAAAACAGGATAATCAATGTCTCTATGCAATTTTTCATTTTCTGTACCTTTTTAATGATAGTACTTAATTAAATTAGGGTTTAAGCTCTGTATATTGACAATATAATTTTTTTATACCATCAATGAATTTTAATATGTGATAGCAAAGTGGTTATCTTATTTGCTAGGCTATCAATTAATATTTATCAAGATTATTTACCAGTAATTATCAATAAGTGACTAATTATCTAAATATTTTTGTACACCATTGAGAACTCGTATTATATTATGTCTCGATAGGTATTGCAGGTACTACAACTCATGGACTCTTGGCAGCTGCGGCTGCTGCAGCTGCCACTACCGCCCACCACCACCAGCAATTCAACTTCATGGCTGGAGGTGGTAGGGATCATCACCATCACCTCTACCACCACCATCAGTTCTTCCCCAGAGATCAGTCGCAACAACAACAACAACACCACCAGCACATGATTCGCGCATTTGAAGGCCATGGGAGTAACAACTTTGACGCAAGTAGCCTTCTTATAGGTCAACTAAGCCAGTTCCAGCAGCCACGCGCCGCTGGCGGAGATGGCCGACGGACGCCGGTGGATCCATCTTAGTTAGGTTACATAAGAGACTTTGAGTTATTAACTATGAACTACAAAAACAGACACTATATTAAGTTTGAAGATTCTGATAGGTAATACTTGCTTGCCCATGCACCAGAATACTTATCTATAAGTATTTTTGAGAGACCAAATATTGCATGAATTTTCTCTACTGTTGTTTATTTTGTGACTGTTATTAATCTAATATCTTATGCCACTATACTTTTACTATTCACAGCCTCTTTACGGGTAAAATTGAGTACATATTACCTTTCTCATATCCATGTTTATGGAATTACACTGAGTTTATTGTGGTTGTGTTGTTGTATACTTCCTCAATTCTTGGTCTAAAATAGCCTTTATTTTTGGTCAAGTGATTTCACACCTTCTTCTCTAAATGTTTTTTTGTTTCTGATCTAAATGTTTGTTCATTATAGACTAGATATAGGATATTTGGACAAGAATATTCATGTATATTTTATCCGAAAAATATGGAACCTCTATTATGTCTTATATTGCACCATATCAGGAGGACGAAAAAAAAGGACGAAATAATTCCAAATGCGTTGAATGTTCATAACCCAAATATCAATAAAATTATGTTCCCAAATCAGAAGTAGATCCAGTCAAATCGACATTTCTAAATAAAGTAATTAACAAAAAATACCTTTAGAGAAACTGTTACTGTACTGAACTAAATTAGCATATGAAAATCGTACTATTTTTATATCACGTTTTTCTTTCTAGTATTATTTGATTCTCCTTTCTCCTATTTCGAAGGCTAGACGTAGGAAAGAGAATAAGGAGTATTGGTAACCCTAGGACAGCTAAGACCTAACCCTCTAAGTCAAAGGTACGGTATATTTTAGGCCAATGCACAGAAAATAGTTATACTAGTATCTACCCGCATTGAATATTTATATTAAACTATATTACTTTATCATAAATATTACTAAGGTAAGAAAATACTATTAAAGTAAGAATGACTATTAATTAACTACATAATTTAGCGCCATAATCATATTCATGAAAATATGTGTTAGGTATTTATTGAGCCAATGTAAATACCCAGTACGTACGGATAAATATTTAGCAAGTATATATTATAGTTTCATTGCCTTATATAGTTGGATTGGTCACACGTGAGACTCATGTATAGAACAGAGACACCACGAAAATTAAAGAAAAAGATGCGTCACAACCCTAAACTTTAAGGAATTACACAGATTTTGTATGCAAAAAGTTTATGGCATCTGTTTTATGCACTAAGTTAATTTATCATGATTAAATTATATATTGAGATAAAAATTTATATTTATTAATTAATTATAGTTAAGTAATATTATAGTTAAGTAATAAAAACGTATGAAAAAAATGCATCACTCCTTTAGTATAAATTAGGATTCTCTAATAATTTGAAATTTTAAACTAAAACTAGTCTGCATCTATTAGGTACATTAGTGCGACTAATTCTTGATCTTATTATCATAAAAATTCCTATACAACAATCTTTGTAGTATTATTTATCGCATAATTATTTTTGTACTTAATTATCTAATTACATTCATGTAGTATAATTTTGCCTAATTAGTTCGTGTACCTAAACACATTGAAAACATTTAGGATATTTGATATTATCAAATCATATTTTTTTGGGGTGTGATTTTTTTCCTGAAGTCTATATAAATACGAGATGTTTTGTGTACCGCTCTTTTTTACGTTACGATTTGCTTTATTGCCATCTTGATATACTCCGTATAATATTTCTTAGGGGCCAAAATAGAAATAGAAAAGAAATACTCTACTCCTGTGTATTATTACTTCCTCCGTTTCAAATTAGATGAGTTTTTTTTTTTTTATGTTTCAAAATAAATATGACGTATTTCTAAATTTGAAAATAATTTAATTTTAATACTTATTTTATCCTTAATGAGAAATTTTTATAACCATACAAATGTTATGATCCCATAAAATTTTTATTCCTTAAGTTTTTAGGATCATAAATTTTAATTTATTTTTTTTAAAATTTTGTATCGAGTTAAACTAATTCGTCTAAATTGAAACGAGAGAGGGTAGAGACAATGATGATTTGCTTTGCAAAGTAATGATGACCTTTTGTCCTATAGAAATGTAAATATTGGCAGTGGCAATTGCAGTATAGGGATAATACATCTCTCTGACACTTAGAAACAGATGCATGCGTTTGTCGTCATTGCCTTCACCATTTACTGTTTATATTATTGCTATACTATCAACAACTCCAAAACAAAATACTACTTCCTCTATTTCAATATATAGTATTTGATTAGAACTCCAGACTTATTGAAATTTTAATAATTTTACGTATTTATATTTTATGTAAAAAATATCAGGTTTAATTGAAATAGTTCGGTATATGTTGTCTCCACCCTAACCATGTCATTTTTATGCTTATAAGAGAGTAATTACTAATTAAGGATAATACGAAGTTTAAAATTGAATTTTAAATCTAAAAATGTGTCATTCTTATAAATAAGTTTAAAATAGAGTATTACACCCGTGAACAAGTAGAGTATACTCGGGCGCTTGAGAAAATCTTTACGGAACTCGACAAAATGATCCATAATTTTTGGAGAAGGGATGCTTTCTTATCTTTAGATTAGGAAAGCGGCACAACCCAGGAATAACGAATGTTTATTAAAAATATGGAACTCTGCTAAGTGGTAACACAATATATTGAGTCTAAAACAAAATGAAATCGAAATAGAGGTCAAATGTGTGTGTCTAGCTAGTGAACAATAAAGTGAGAGAAAAACCATGAGGTTTCGTGTTCAAATTATAGTGAAGATACAAAACAATAGGTGTTTTATTCTATTTACCTTAATTGTAATGGACAAAGTTATTCGATACATGTACCGATAGAAGATAGCATATATCCCGTGAAATAGTCGAGTTGCGCGCAAGTTTGACGATTTTTCATTTGCTATATCCATTGGCTGCTTTTGGGTTGACTAGGGTAAGAGGTCTGGATAGGGAGGGTGGGGGTGTGTTCTACCATGCACTTTCTTAGGCGTAAAATGTGGGGCCTAAGTGTCGTGCATGCATGTTCTCCGGGAGGAAAAAAGAGTGCCTTTAAAAAACTTCTGAAATTTATAGCTCTCTTTTGGTTTTTAACTCCTTTTAAATGAAGTATAAATTACTCCTAAGTTTTTGGTTTAAGGACTGTGTGAATCTTGAAAATCAAAAGGTTGACTGACTGATCAAATCATACTTTCTTTTGCCTATTTTCTAATTATGCTTTTCTTATTTTGATATCTGCTGAACTGTTGAGGCACAGTGCATCACCAAGAGACAATTATTTTCCAATTGCTAAAGCCCACCCAAGATCCAACAATAAAACTAAATAGAATTAACTTAATTAGCCGTCTATCCAAGTGCTTAAATTTAAAATAGCCGGCGGCTATACAATATATGTATAATTCATGTATAATATGTGTATAATTGTATATAATCAATGTATAATCTATATATACCAGCTAGAAAAAGTACACATTGAATCTGGCCGACTATTTATGTAACAATTCCTATAACTAAAAGGATCATGACAAAATTTGAAAAGGGATTTTTATACAAATAGCCGGTCGAATTCACTATTTACTTTTTCTAGTCAATATACATAAAGTATTCAATGATTATATATGGATTATATATGTTTTATACATCCGTCGACTATTTTAAATGCAAGCACTTGAAAAGGCGACTATTTAAGTTAATTCTTCATTTGGGTGCCCAATGAAAGAGATCCAACTAAATTATAAAATGTCGAAGGAGAGAAAAAAAAACTACACGCATTTCCATATGTTAGTCAATTTCTAAACTTTTCTCATTTGATTGAAATTGGTGTCAATAATTGTTCTCCCTATATGCTATAAATCCATATGAACTTGGTCCTACAAGATAAGAAGAACACATGAGTATATGTTTGTATTTTGTATATACGAATATATATGAATACAAACATGTATGGACGTGAAAATAGTACGGACTAGCCAGTTTTCGGACTGGTAATTGAAAAGTAGCCGGCGTTTGCAAAGTCATTAAAAAATAGCCACTATTTTGCTGCAAAACGGAAAATTTCAGCATAATATACTGGAGATTGGTGCACCTGTGTATGAACTTCCGGCATATTATGCTGGAACTCCATCACACGAAAAGTTCCAGCATAATATACTGGAGATTGGAGCACCTGTGTACGAACTTCCAGCATATGCTGGACCAGTATATTATGCTAGAACTCTAGTATATTGTAGAGGAAAAAATACGACATGACACGTGGCCGCTTAAAGGAAGGACACATGGAACACAAGATGGAGATGGCCAAGGAACATAGCTATTCCGCTTGTCATCGGAAGGAATAACGATCATAAAATGAGTACTAAATGCTTTGCGCCCAGTAACATTTAATATGAAATATTTTGCAGCATTAAGGATGATGGACCGTTACAAGGAATTTGGCATTTATGTTCAACGTTACATCTTCGTCAATGGCCCTCATAATTGACATTAAGAAGGGCATGATGCTAGGATTTCCTTCCCTAGACATAGCTATAAATAGAGAGCTCAGTTATCATTGTAAGGGGGATGAATTTTTCTGGCTAACTTACACTACATTCTATAGAGCATTTTAATATAATTTTATTTTCGCTTTTGATCTTATCATTGTTGTGCCCGGAAACCTTATTCCCGGACTCATTAGCTCTGTTGCTTCATCTACATTCTAAGGCTAAGTATTTCATATTTTATTAGTTATTTTCATTACTTTTTTATCGAATTAATTCACTTATCTAGAAATCACGAACAAATTCAATTATACTATTTTTTGGGTACACAATTTGGCGCCCACCGTGGGGCCTAGACAGTCGTGCAATTAAATTGATCCTTGTCTTTCTTACTAATAAGTTTGATTATTTTTTTTTAGCAAAAATTATAAAAGAAATGGTAGATACAACTATTAACGGCACACGCAACCCTGAAATTCAAGGGGAGCAACCTCATTTCGAAGATACAATCAGTGACACTCGCAAAGAGGAGAACGACGCCACACCGACGCATGATGGGCGATACCCTCGACAGGTTCGGGAGAGGACTCCTGATGATGCTGATGAGAAGCATGTATCGGGTGCAGTAAGGGTCCTGCAAGAGCAACATACAATCATTCTAGGCCATCTCACGTGGTAGGAT